TCTCTACAAGAGCTTCCAATATGAGCATTACAGTGCATGAGAGTAACAGAGAAATTCACAAGGATGTTACAGAGTTTTTAAAATAATCTTATTTCTCAGAAATCAGGGACATTTGTGCAAAATGCCATCTCTATATACCTTAAATGTCACTCGCCCAGAATCTCGCTGTCAAATTGTGTCTCTGGTTAGAAATAACACAGTGCAGATGCAAACCACAAGCATGAACTGGTCTTAGTGGTTTCTCAAAAGACTTGTCTCAGAGTTGTAAGGCAATACATGTAGAGAAAGAGACCCCAGAACACAAAGCTCTCTTTTTTTTCCTGTCATATCAGAGCAGACTAAAAAATTCTGCCGTCTGAGGATGAAATTATTATGACTGTTGGTAAAACATTACTTGTACAAGAAGCCCCTGAATAAGCTTTTACAACTTGTATGAGAAAGGACTGTAATTTAGCCCTCCACATCTTATCAGAATTGTGGATGCAAAACTGGCTCCTGAGCCCCAGAGCTCAGCCAGATTCCTTGAAGAAACACTTTTTTCCTGGGAATGTTCAAAAGCCATGTGGATGTGGCACTTGGGGACATGGTTTAGTGGTGATGGGTTAAGAGTTGGACTCGATGTTCTTGGGGGTCTTCTCTAACCTTAGTGATTCTGTGATTCTGTGCAGCTTTCCACTGTGCTAAGAGAAGATGGACCAAAGGTCTCAGGGTGTCATGAACTGCTAAGAGGAATGAGCTTAAAGGCTTCCCCAGAGAGTTACTAATTATGGATATTCATTCACAGAAGGAATGAGAGAGCAGCTTCCACTTGGCATCTGCAATGTTTAGATATTATTCCCATTACAGTCAGAAGGATAAGGGTGTAGTAGACGATTTCTAATATCTCAGGTGGAAATCTTCTCTGGGGACATGGGCATGTTCTCCGGGGAGAGCTTCAGACATATCCCAGTCACTTGTTGCAGTCAAATACCACCCAAAAGCAAAATAATTGTTCTTGTGAAGTAGATACACAGGAATTAGCACCATTCAGAGAGTTCATTCAGCCCTACTAGCAGTAGTTTATACAGAGTGGAGTCACCTCCCATCCTCAAGTTGGACAGATAATCTACTTGTATGAGAAAGATGATGACAACACTTTAAAATTTCAATGTTAGGCCAAAGTAATTTATTCCCTCTGGTCAATATTTAGGCTGGTTGTTCTATTTTGATTTCTTAAATGAAAAAATTATGTGAGACTATTATATAGTCTCTCTCTGAGACTATTATATACACTATATAACTCTGGTTGTACAAGAATTAAAAGCAGTAATCTGTTATCAGTGATTTACTTAGAAGTAAATTAAAACCTGTTGAGACTTTAAATAGAATTTGGAAGATTTCTTGCATGTTGAGCATAGCCAGTGTCCAGTTGTTACTGAAGGATTTGAAATAGTCTTAATAACCATGCAAAACAACATAAATACTGTTGCATTTAAATGTCAAGCAGTAAAAGAATTCACTAACTAGTGCAGAAGCAAGCATATTAACCAAATATGTCAGATTAAAGAAATGGCACCAATGAGGCATTTTCAGCACCTCAGAGCTCTAAACTGTGAGAAAACCAAATCTGTGAACTACTAGAAAAAAACCCTGCATGTTTTCAACTTGACTGTGAGCTGACTGCTAATATGATATTGCAAGTTGAGTGTTATAAAACATTCAAAAAGAAACTATATGTTTTGGAAAACAAGTGCTTGCAAAAGCTTGCATGCTGGGAATGGAAATAGTTTCTTTACTAACACAGAGACCATGAGAAATCACCAGTCAGTGGCTTGTCTTCACCAGAACCAGCAGTGCTGGACATATTTTGGTCATGTCCTCCAGATTATATTAACAGAATGTCTCCTGCAGGAGTTATTGGGTGGAAGAATGGTCATAAGCAGCAATCAGCAACAGACAAGTGGGAGGAACTGATTCCAGACAATGCTCCCAGCAAAGGCTTCAGACATACATCAGGTGGCATTCACAGCTGCCACAAACATTGGTTTGCAGGATAGTCACTGGAAACATTCCAATGTCCTACAATATATCACAAGCCTCAAGAGGAGAATCTACTTCTAGCCTTTATACCATTCTCCTGCAAAATGTTTTGTGGGTCAACTTGGCTTATCAGCCTCCTTGGCATCTGAGTTCAGGCTCATCCTTGTCAGACACACCTTAGTCAGGAGGTTAAAATGCTTTCCTCAGTTAAATTTCTCTGATTCTGTGGGCTCCCTCAGCACTAACCTACATGTGCTGACTGATTTCTCCAGTTATTTCTCCAGTTTATTTTTACAAATAACCAAAAATTATTTCTGATGAGCCCTCCCCTTCCCAAGCACTCAGCCCAGGCCGCTCCATCCTGACCTGGCCCCTGAGTCACTTCACACACGACTCATACCTTGCCAGTTAGGTTTTCCCTGCTTCTGACACACTGTCCTTGCCCAGCTGCCTTGTCTTGCTCCATCCCTGTTCCATAAACTCTGATACTGGAGCTGCAGCTCTGCTCCCCACCTGAGGCTGCTTTGCTCCCAGATGCAATTCCTGTCATTTATCCCATTAATGGGCTGGGACCTCATTAATACCCCAATACCATTCTCATCACTGTGGGTCCTGTCCCAGCCTCAGAGCCTCACCCTTCACTTCCCACCTCTCCTTGGAAATGATTTTATTTCCCTCTTGAGTGCGGGGACAGGAAACAGGAAAACAGCAAAGACAAGAAGATAAGCCCAGAGCAATCCTGTCTGCAGCTCTGGGCATGAAAATTTCAGTCCGGCTGCTTTCCAGGAAAGCCCCGAGACCACACTGCATCTTCAGACCTTTCCGACCCTCTCGAGCAGCCAAACACCCAACCCTTACCTCGGCACTCAATCTAATTTCCTTAGCAGTTCATTCACCACTGCTTGGGTTAATTGTGGTGCTGATTGTCTACCCCTCTACACTTACAGTCCATCACACATCTCACTAATGTGTCATTTTCCTCAGCAAGGTGTTACTTCTTTTTTTAAATTTATTTACGCCAAGCCAAAGAAACCACCTCCACTACTGTTTCCTTTCACAGCTTGTTTTTTATTTCACAATCGTGGTCGTGTTTGCACAGTGGTGTTGCTACAGAAAGCTGATCTTGAATGTCACTTTGCTCATTGTGAACCTCTGTGTGTTGCCTCTCAGAGGTTTTACCCTTTTCTACTAAACCTGCACCTTTTTCCAAAAATTAAATGAAAAGTGATTGACTATGGGATTATGAGCACTTTGGTTCCTGGGTTGGTACCTAATTTGTTAGTTCTTCCCCAGCTCTTCACCCACCCCTGAGCTGGGCTTGCCCAGGGACAAAGTCAGAATTGGTCACAGCATCAATCCTACCAGAGTTCAAGAAGTGTTTGGACAACGTTCTCAGACACATGGAATATTCATTGTCTGTAGTGTTCCTTGGTATTTTCTTTGTTGATTAGTTTTAAAAAGAAAAACTCCACATGTAGGTTGTGTGAATAAAGTGGAAAACACCTCTTATGTTGTTTATTGCGGTGCTGTTAGGAGCAATTTATACTGTATTGTGCAAGAAGCCTTTGAATCCTTATTTAAAAAAAAACAAACAACCAAGCCAAACCAAACAGCAAAACACTGAAAGAAACAGTCCATTCAATAACCAGCATTTATTTGCAAGATATATGACATAGTTTTTAATATAGGTATAAAAATATCAAGCAACTGTACATCACAAAAACAGTTTTATTCAGGTATGGCCACATGAAGATGGCACCTCTTTGTTCACAAAGTGAACCCGTTGGCACCCCAGACACCCCAGTGAGCAGATTTCCCCCTCAGGTCTGGTGCACAGCATTTCATGAGTAATATCTGGAGGGAAATGGGCTCTCCTGAGGGGCAGGACTGGCTTGGCAAGCTGGGATCTCGGCAGAGCTCAGCTCTGGAGAGGAAGGATCCCCTGTGCCTGGCTCCACTCCAGCTACTCACTCATCACAGGCAAACTGATGCTAATCCCTCAAAAAAATAAACAAACACATCAATAGAGAAAAACTCCAGCCTCAGCATGTCCTCAGAAACCACAAACCAACCCCATCAATCCTGCCCTGTAACAGAGCAACTCCACATTCCTCCGGGCATGTGAGATTGTTGACTTTCCACAGCAGCCCCGGCTCTGCAAAACCAAACACCCTCAGCTGAGCTCCCTGGAGAGACCTGTTCTAAGATGTTACTAAACCAAATCTAGCTTCCACTTGACTGATGTGAGTTTTGATAAATTCCTTCTTTGATAAGAAGGATTTTTAGATCAGACCCACCCACGCCACATTGGAATGCAGGCATTGGCTTTATCCCAGATTATTTCACCTTGCGTTGGAAAGTGTGGAGTCACTGACCTGGAGAAATGTATTCTGCTGGGTGGCCCTAAGACATGTGGAGTTGGAGACATCACCAGTACATCACAAATATTTCTGCTGTCCCAAGAAGCCACCATGCCCCAAGTCTGGTCACTTTGCTTATCAACCATGTCAACCACACCAGTCATGCCAGTATCTCTCACAAAGGCAGTAAGTTAAAATCTAGACTTGATTGCATTTTCATGGGACTGTTACGACTTTGGAATAGGTAAGCCCACACGTATCCAGCACTTCACCTGTGATGCACCCTCCCACATTTCTGAAGTCTCCTCAGCCCAGAACACATTTCCCTGCTGTAACTTTTGAGTAGTTTTAAGCTCCCTGAGCTCCTGGGCAGACCCACGAGGATTCATGAGAGAACTGTAATCCTTGCATAAGTGGATCCAGTACAACTTATTGAACAGACTCTTCTGAGCACTTACCAAAGCTCAGAACCAGACCTCTCCATCCATCCATCCCACCTTCCCTGAAAGGGTTATTTATCAGAGAAACGAGCTCATATGATGCATCCAGCCAAATGCACAGTCCAAAAATCCTGCTTTTCACACTGAACTGCAGACACGTGTACAGGGTACCTGCATTTTGCTCTATTTTCTATACATTTAAAAGAAAAAAAGTAAAAAGCAGAAAAAAGCTTTGGAAATTAGTCTTTTCTCTCCACTGAAAAAGGTGGGTGATAGCACTTTCAGTTCAACTACTACATCAGATTGTTGAAGCAGCTCTCAGAGAGACCTGTAAAGGAATGGTTGATGCTGATGCACGCAAGGTCCCAGCTTAAGCTTCACTGCCCTTGGAGTAGGTGTTGGTTCTGACCAGTGTGTTCCGTCTGGAACTGTAAGACATATCTTCATAAACTACATTTGGGGTGGTTTTTTGGAAGTACTTCTTTATCTGCAAAACAAAGAAAACACCATTCAGAACAGAACCTGAAAAGGACCCCAACAAAGCAGTCAATTTTCATCTTAGGAGTCCATCTACATCTTTAGAACTCTATCCCTTGGAAGAGGAAACGTACTTTAAAAATACCTTTCACAACACAGTGGAGTTTTAGAGGACCAAGTGGAAATTGTCAACCTATTTATTTAACTTTCTATTGTCAGTTTGATGCAATTTCACTAAAAGTTCCTTCAGGAGTTGGATGTAACTGTAGCTCCTACAGAAATAAGGCTCATTCTTAGTCTGTTACTGGTGACATGAGAGACCAGTTCCCACAGGGCCACTGAGCTTTGACAGAATGATGTTGTACTACTGGTTTTTAGCAGTGCTGAAGCCACATGTGGAGGGACAAGACAGGAGCCTGTGAATCATACACTGTTAATTTTCAGTAATCTTTATGGAGCAGAAGAATCTATCAGAGACAAGTAATTTCTGGGCACTTTCTGCAGTATATGAATATAAATAATCACAGTAAAGGAAAAAAAATTAGGATTTTTTTTTTTCTAGAACAGGGTAAAATTTTTCTCCAAGTGCTGCCTTCAGACATCAGGCTATTTATGACTTTTTGTTGCCCTTGTGTCCCCCTCCAAACGTTCCCTCACATCTTTTACAAGGTTACTACGTACAGCTCCAGTCCCAATTCACATAAAGGTTTTAAAAAAAGGACATTGAGGTGCTTTGTCCAGGGAGGTACATACAACACATGGCTGTGTTGTTGACCATGTGGCTCACTTGAGGTTTGTTATCAAAAGGCAAACAATACCTCATTTACAAAGAGTTACAGAAACATAAAACACTGTGTTTACTGCAAGAGTTTACAGCTGGGAGACATTAAACAAAGGCAAACAAGAAACAATAGAAAGCCACAATTCCTTAGGTTTATCAAAAGTTTGATTCACTCAGCCACTGTTTATAAATAATTTGCTCAACCTGGACACAGTTTTGCTTTGGCATGGTGAGAGCATACTTACATTGACACGGTACAAGGTGCAGCACACCAGTGCACAAAACAGTAGTGCCACCACGATGAGGAGAGAATAGATGACCCAGGAACTATGACTGCATGCCTTCTGGGAGTATGCCTGCTCCCCTTCTGCATCTAAAATTATATTATTATTATTATTAATATTATTATTATTATTATTATTAAGAGGTAGAATTTTCTTTTTATTCTGAAAAAAATTATTTACAGGTCAAGAAAAAAATCAGATATCAACAGCTACACAGCCACATTTGTCATTCCATTAGTATTCTCAGTGGCATCCCCTGGGCTCTTCCAGAGGCTGGCAATGACTGCAGGCGGCATGTGAAGGGTCAGCAAGGAGCACTCTACAAAGGCAAAAGCTGCCACACCACTGAGCAGAAGTAGGACCACACACTCGTGATGGGAACAGAAAATGCTTTATTCTGAGGGCTCAGAAGGAATTGTCTAACAGCCAGTTTGTGAGCGGTACAGACAGAAGCAGGAGGGTTCTGTGATTTGCCACACTCCACTGAGCAGAACAGTGCTAGTGGAAAGGGTTCCAGCTCTCTAAAACCTCAATTCATCCATATCTGAATAACATAATCACACCCTGCTGCTTTGATGTGCTGCTGTCATTCTCCCCAACTCACTTTACTGAGCTGTCGCCCTCGTTATGGGTTGCAGCACAGAATGAGACCACAGCCGTCTTTGCAGACTGCAGGTAGATCCTGTGCAGCTCTCAGGGCCTTTGTGAACCTTATTTTACAAAGACCACAGCAAAGCCCAATGCCTAGGGTTGAAATGCACCAGTAAGATCAAAATCAAGCACTATATTTCTGTCTTCAGCTTAGCAAATGGTGACAGCACCATCCTGCAGAAAAATAAAACCCCTCTTTGGAGCATACACAGTGCTCAGTGTGTAACAATGGTCTGTGGGACTTGAAGTACATGCCTGAGGACTTGTTCTGTGCTCCCCAGTGTGACCTATTTTTAAACAGAAAGACTTGCTATCAGGAGTTGTTTCTAAAAGACATTGATGTCACATTAAGATCAAAGAACTGCTGCTAAAAATACTGATTCACATCTTAAAACTGACAGATTATTCACACATACACTGAAACGTTTGATATCTTATTTTGACCTTTTTTAATTCTTTTAAGATGCAGGATTATAACAAGTTTTCTCTTCTGAAATGCCCTCTGGTTGGTTGTACAAGGCAGGTAGAAACACAGTGCCTGTTTCTGTCTCCAAGCATAACAGGACACTGATGAGTCTGAGCCCACTCTCCAAACTCTCCCAGGTACTGGATGAAGTCTACCCAGGGATTAGTGCTTTACCTGTCCTGACTAGATTTCTGCAAGCTTCTTGCCCACCTTTTGCATTACAACATGCCCATAGTTAGCTATGATTAAACAAGCAAGAGGAACATACCTTTAACCAGCACCATGGTGCCACTTGCTGAGAGGAGACGGGTATTTTTCACATGTTTCACCTCCTCAGCACAGACATAGTTATCACTGTCGTTTTCCTGCAGGTTGTGTAGAGTTATTACTATTTGCTTCCCTTCCCTTGAATACTCCAAGCGATCAGCAAAGGCAGGTAGAATCCTTGTAGCATTCTGATTTGACACATACAGAACACTTTCAGGTTGCACATGAGTCCTGAGCAGGTAGATCTCTTCATCCCCACGTGGGCTGTTCATCACACAGGTGATGTTGACAGACTGGCCTTGCTGAGGGCTGGCATAGAGCGGTGACTGCTTCAAAGCCCCACCAGTTTTAGCTAAAAACAAGAGAGATTCATGGCTATCACATAATTATCACAGTGCATTTTAACTAGGGAGCAAATGCAGAGGTCATAGACAGAAAGAACAGACTGCAGAAATTTAGATAAATTTTTTAACGTGCCTTGAGAAGAAGGATGTTTTAGTACATCCTGGCATATTTTCCTACCTCAGGATCTGAAAGTAGGACTGACCAACAGGTTCACCTGGTTGTAAAGGGTCTGTACCTACCTAAAAAATATATATACTGATCCCTTCTAAGAGAATACAGCCTCATCAGCATGTCCTTGGACATGGATCATTGATTGCTTTCTCCAGTGAGATGAAGACATAGGAAGATCTGGGGAATATTGGTCTGGATCAACTCATACAATGTGAGTCCCATCAATGTTGAAAATTATGTTCAAAAAGTAATTATTAATGGTTTGCAGTCCAGCTGGGAAGACATTCCACTGAGATCCTCTAAGGACAGGTCTTGTTCCTTTTAAAATTATCATTAATGTGGGTGAGGGAATGAAGACAGAATGTATCATGTTTGTCAAAGGAAAGTGGCAAGCATTTTAGAGAAGAGGATCAGAATCAAAAAGAGAGATAAAGTAACTTATAAAATAATTTGAAGAAACAGTACACAATAAACAAGATGGAATTCATTTGAGAAAACAGGACCAAGAAGTTTGAAAAGAGAAGCCTAAGGAAGAACATGATAGTTCCTCATGGATATAAATTACAATCTCTGATCCAGCAATCAATTAGATTTCACGTGCCTTGGGGACAGGAAAGGAAGAAAACTCTAAGTTTTGGTAAAGGTGTTTCTCATCAGATAGTCTCATCAGAAGGATGGGTACATAGAGGAATAAGATGTCGAAGAACAGTGGGGACTCAAACCCTCTTCTAATGCAAAAGAAAATAAAGACAGAAAAATTGTTCCTCCAACCACAAAAATCTGCCAAAGGGAGAACTTGTGCCCATTCATCAACTATTAAGAACAGAAAAATCCCTGTACCCACTCACGCCCAACTTGCAGACCCTGTCTAGCACCAGCTCCCAATAATTACCAATATGTCATTTAAGATGAAATAGTAAAGAAAAAAGAGATTTGCAAAAAGTGCTATCAAAAAAACCCTCATTGCTCTGCTAGTTATTCATAAAGATTTCACAGATTGTTTTGGAAAAAGAGCTCTAGGTCATCACTGTTTCCAAACTGCTGCAGCTACCTATGACTAATAGGTGAAAACCTGTAGATAGAATTAAATCAGTCACAAACTGATGTTCTAGGGTGGATGGGGTTTTTTTGGTACTGTACTATCTAATGTTCTTTCTTCGATATTTCGGGGACCAGACCCACACTTGCCTTCAAATCTGTTCATCACCTGAGCAGACACGGGTACGGTCCTGTCAGACTCTCCCTCCCACTGTGCTTGCTTCCAATCTTTGATTTAAAATACAGATCTGTATTTAATAATTCATGACATAAAAGGTGGAATTGCAATACCTTTCACCACTACTATGGTTCTCTTCCCATCCAGTATTTTGTGACGGTCATTGACTGTAACATACTCAATGCATAGGTAGATATTGGAGTCGGATTCCTGTACACTGTGCAAAGTTGTCCTGTAATTCCTTCCTTCCCTTGAACACTCGGTGCGACCAGCCAAATCAGGAGAGATATTTGGAGGACTGTCCTTGGGAAAATATATCATATTGACTGTCTTTCTGCTACTTTTCAAGTGCATTCCCACGTGCTCTCCTAAACCACTGATTGAGCAAGTTATGCTGATGGAGTCTCCTTCCCAAACACTGATAACGTCTGTTGACTGTTCGGTTTCTCCACCTAAAGATAAGAAATGCAATTGAGATGGTAACACCAGAGTTCTTATTGATCTTTTAATATCAAAGTAGTTTTCAGAACCAACAGCTCTGTCAACAGAACCGCTCTGTAGGACTGGACCTTAGTCTTGCTATGCTGTGTATGTCATCTCTTGGCTGCCCTGAACCCTGTCGTGCCTTTCATACCCATTGACCTGTTCAACTCAGCACCTTCCCAAAGCTTAAAAGACCTTGGCAAAAAAGTGTCTTCTGTCACTCAAGCAAAAAATTTAGTTTGCTTTGTAGATTCCCAGAATGATCCTATTAGTTCTCAAAATACAAGCTTCACTGAACTCAGCCTGACAGTTGGAGCTGTTTGAGGGTCTAAATCTGGAATTCAAAGGTAAGAAAAAAATGACAGAGGATGGAGGAAAAATACACCTTTTTTTTTTTCTTTTTAAAGAAAGGAGCATTTAGCATTAGGAAACTGGATAATAGAGCCTCTCGGGAAGAGGACTGCAGAAGGTGCAACTCCAATCTATAGTAAGAAACAAAGGTACCAAAATGTATAATGAGACATCTTTGAGTTCTCTAATTACCTCAGGATCAAAAGAAACTGAACAGTAAATACTTGTGTAATGAATAGCAAGAAACAGAGGGATCAAATGGGAAACACCAAAAAGAAATTACATCAGAAGCAAGGGAAGAAAAACTAAATAGAGACATGTCCAGGACAAACACAGTTTAGAAAAGGTTGAATTGTTCAATGTTGAGAAGCAAATTAAGGATCCCTACATACAATTTACTTTAATAAAGAAACAAACATAGAATTCAAACACAGAAAGTGTGGATTGTTGAAATATAGATACAGCAACTCACTCCATCTGACCAGACATGGGCATGTTCCTCCTACAACACTTAGAGAAGGAATTAATGCAACCCAGGAGTCACAAGCAATTATCTTACAAAGCAGCAGAGAAATGGGGTGATGGATAAGGCTGGAGAAGTGCAGAGCACTCAGCCTTTACCATCAGGAAAGGAAAGGCCATCAACCCAAAAATCAGTACTTCCAAACTGACCCAGTTTAAACTTTTCCATGACCTAAGACCTCATGAAGCTAATGACAAGCAGACGCAGCCCATCACTCATATTCTCCAAAGATCAAGGTAGAAGTTCAAGAGTTAAATTATATTTGCAGAAATCAGCATTGACTCCTAAATAACCACTAACTAAAGAATATTCTCACCAGTTTCAATGCACCTTCCTTTCAGACACACTGATTTATGGATAATATGTTTTTCTCAAGTCACCATCCTTTCCATTGTCACTGGTGATGGGGAAAAAAAGGAGTGACTGTTTGGAGACTTTTTTTTCCTCAGCCTGTTCCCCTCAGAGATTCACAGTGTTTTCCCTAAGTGTGCCTCCAGCTTGTAGTCTTAATAACCACAGCATCATTCAGCAGTGGATATTTCTGGTAAGGCTTTATTCCACCTTCAATAAAAATGCCCCTGGTAAATATAAATATTCATTTCTGTCAGTAGTGGGCTCCCCCGTCATCCTTAAAAATACAGATACAGTTGATCTGAAATTACTGGGAAAACAACTTCCACTCTTCCTAAAGAGAATGATTGCTTTGTAGAAAAGTTAAGATCATAACAATTTTTCTTTTTTTTTTCTACAAGTTCCTTTTTTAATTTCAGAGTTTGCTTGGTTTTTTTTTTTCCAAAGTTCCACCCGCTTTCACTAATAGTGAATCTGGCAGGAAGCTGTTTGAGAAAATAGACTAAAGTGGGAGGGGGATTAAACACAATGAAGCGAGAAAGAGGAAGGAAAACTCTGAACTGGAAGAGCATCTACATTGTACGTACCGTTCTGGGCAGGGAAGCACGGGAGGAGCAGCAGACAGAGGGATGCAGTTGGGAGACACGACATCCACAGCATTTTCAAAGGTCTCTTTAGTTGCTCTCTACAATCTGACTGATGAGTTAAAGATCTGAGGAAAGGGTTGATGCCCCAAGCTGGCCTGTTGCCTTTCAGCTACATCAGCTCTCTACTAAAAGAAGCCAGCAGGATGCTGCTTTTGCTTTTCTATTCCAATGAATGTGACAGAGGTGTATCTTGATGTTGACTTCACACTAAAACCACCCCTGGTTTCCTGCTACTGAGCAACTCCCAGCCCTGAGGGTAGGAGTAGAAAGTTCTCTATGGTGAGCACCCACCTTCCCTTTGAAGACAACTGAGAGACATTCGCTCAAATTTGCCCTTCACAGTGCCCAAGCCAGGCAGTTGTCCTTCAGTTGTGACCTCACTGGAAATGTGGGTGCTGGGTACAATCAGTTCAGCCTGTCCCTGTTCCCATGAGCTTAGATTGGTGGCTGCAAAAGCCTTGGCTTTGTAAGGAGCAAGGAGATGAGAGATGCTCCGTTACTTCAGGTAAACCTTCAATTCTTATACCAGCCCTGCACACAAACCAACAGCTTGGATCTGCATCTTGGCAATGACAACGGGAATAAATTCCCAAGCAACAGCACAGGGTGTACCTCCCACGTGCCCCTGGCTTCACATTCAACAACCCTCTCTGTGTGTTTGCAGTGCACAAGAGCTGAAAACCACCAGCAAAGGGGAACCAGCTACAGCTCACATGTAGTTCCTGCTCCCTCCACAAGAGGATGAAAAGCTCTTCTTGTGGGCACTGTTTTCTGTGGGAATACAGAGGGGAAGGGAGTGTTCCCAAAGAATTTCTTGAATCCTTGAAAGCTCAGAAATTTCATCAATTAGTGTAAAGGAAAGAGAGTTCAGGCACGTTGTGAAATGAGCTTTCAATTAGCCCCACAAAGGCTCACTGCTGGCTAGAAAAGCAGATGCCAGGAGACATCTCTTACTCCCTGTCTTTGCTTTTGCCATATTTAAGAAATGAATCATGATAATAATACTGGATTGTGAGTTTGGGAATGATGGGATGGTGATGCTTTGTCAAGGAGATTGACAGACCAAATAACAATACCATCAGTACAGGGTTCCCAAGGAATAGCCAGCTTTTAAGGAGCTGTTTTATTGTCACTAATATAGTAACACAAATTGAAAACTAAAATCAGTCAAAAGAATTGCAGCTACAAATGGCATTTGGTGAGTCAGGCATCTTAGGATCATTGGTCCTTTTTTTATTTCATCAGGTGATCTTTAAGATCCCTTCCACCCAAACTATTCCATAATTGTGTGAATAAAAATATTTACCTATCTATGTTGATATGGTTTGGAGCTGGCTCCTTGCCAAGTCTCCAAACCTTACCACAAGAAGTCCCCCCCCCCTCCACCCCAAACCAAGGGAGAAGAGGGGGAAAAAAACCAAAAGAACTGAAAACGAGAGAGAGACAAAGTAATATATATAAATATATTTACACTTATATTACAGTTACGTACAGTTGAAATATATATACAATTTCACAGGGAAAAGGGAAAGGGGAAGGGAAGAACAAAAACCAAAATTATATACATATATATATATATATATATACCGATCAGTAGCCCAAGGTCTATCAACTAAAAGAATTAGCAAAGAATATCTTACTACTCTCCTTGGGACAACAGAGGGTCACGCTGGGGTGACTGGTGACTGCCGGCAGCCTCTGCCTCCCAAGGTCGACAAGGCCTTACCAGGCCTCACTCTCCAAGCCGACAGACTCAACAACAGGGAGATCTGCACCTCCAAAGCCGCCGGAAGGAAAGAGAGCGAAGGTCTTTCCTCCCTTCTTCTTATACCCCAGCTTACGTAAAAATCGTAGGGAATACCGGGTAAATCTGGGCACTTCCTTGGTTACAAACTGGTCACCAAGGAAGGCCTAGGCCAAACTACCACATATGTATATTGCAAAACAAAAAGCACTTGCTGAGGACAAACCCTGTAGACATCTCCAGAAAGCAGAGCACACAGCTGGAGATAATTCAGCTGGTTTAAGGCTGTGCTGCTGAGTCAGCCACACAC